CGAATCAGCCTCATCTGACGCCGAACGGCTCCTCTCAGCAGCGCGCAGCGCTCGGGCAGGACGCGCACGGTTAAACACCGTGGCCTCCTGCACCGCAGCGCTGCCTCCCCCGACGCTGTCTCGCCACAGCTAGCGCCAGGACCTAGGGGCAAATGGTCAGCATGAATTTTGGGGACGGGGGACGTGGCCTCCGCATAGCTCTTCAGCGCAGCCCGGGCTTGTGTTTCCCCTGCAGGTGGCTGAAGCTTACAACCACCCTTGCCATTTCTGCTTTTGGGCAGAGCATGGGCAAAACCAATACCACACGTAGCAACATGCATAAAATGAGCTGTTCAGCATTTCATTTTTAAAAGACAGGAAAATGTTATTAAAACTGGATATGATTTGTTTAACGACTGAAACCAAGGGAATTAATGGTAAGGATTTATTCCAGGCCAGTTTTTTACATAGACACATTCATGTAAGTGCTTTCTGCATAGTATTCTCTATTACTCATAGCATCATGTCCCCATCCATGGGGACATGCCTATACCAGCTGCCTGGTGCCTAAAGCTAAGCAGTGACCTTGAGGCTGCAGGAAACCTGTGGGACCAACAATCCTTTCCAAGTGCAATGAGGAATAGTTTCCTACTATATTGGACAGTCTAGGATGATCCAGAAGGAAAGTCCTATCCAGGAGAATTACCAAGACATTCAGTCCCCCATGTCACACAAGGTTTAATGGTGCTGGCTCACTGTAGAGTTGTGATGTTGGGATTCATGCTCATTTGAGGCTACCATCAGCCACGGTGAGGCAGACTGAAAAATACTGTTTCCTTATCATGATCAGACTGGGATGCCTTCTCTTATCTTCTCTTGACTGTGTTTGACTATGAGTTTGTTTGCAGCTTGTATAAAACTAATTTGGAAAAAAAAAAAAAACAAGTTGTTAAAACTGAAAGCAACATTTTTCAGTAGCGTTGAAATCAATCATATTTCTAAAAAGGACTCGGGTTCTTAGAGTCTGGGCTCCTGGGCTTCAAACAAAAGTCTGCAGGGCAAAACCAAAAGACTTGCAAACCCAGGAAAGCCTTCGGTGCCTAGAAGTGGGCTGCACAAATTCCACCTGTGAAGCGGAAGGAAGCACCAAACAGAAAATGGGCCCCATTCTGATGCAGCTCATTTTTCCTGTGTATGAGCCTGGAATTTGTAGCCCAGAAATGCTTCAGGAGATAGACACTTACACAGTTCCTTGAATGCAGGCAAGTAGTTTATAATACTCAGAAGACTCAGAAGTGACCTTTACCATCTCCATCACCTTCCCAGAGTTTGTCCTAACACCTTGGAGCTGGGAACATCTCCCATTCCTTCCTGCAACTTCTCACTTTTAGGTTGAGTATTCATAGCATCCAAGAGGGAGCTGAACTTTTGTCTCAGGTTTAAGAAATCTATCTGGGGACACGGACATAGATGTGACAATTATATTGGGTTCCTGCAGCATTTACCTTGCTTTGGAAATGTTCACTGCAGGCCACTCAATAAGCAAAAGAAGGCCTTAAATAGGTACCATGGTATCATTCAAATCCATACACTGTAACAACACCCCATAAGAACATAGAAGTAGTCACAGGAAGACCTGTTGGAGAGAACAGACCCTTAGCTAATATTCAGACTCACCAGCCAAATGAGTAATCTGAATCAGAAAACAGCATCAGTGCTTGTACTGAGTAGTCGATGGGAGGGAGAGAGCGCCAGCTGTTTAGGAGGCTCGGGCAAGCCTCAATGTTGTGGCAGAAAATGCCACCAGGAACCGTGTTTTTGAGTCAGGGGCTTTTGTGAATTACACAGTCTCTTCAAGTATTGGCAGCTTGTCTCTAGGATGTCTATTTCTGGTGCTAGAGCTTCTCGTACAGATGGGTGGAAGTCTTTTTTTGTACTTAGGGTTGTAAACACTTGCTTCCATAAAATCACAGAATCATAGAATCATAGAATGATAGAATGCTTAAGGTTGGAAGGGACCTCTAGAGATCATCTAATCCAACCCCCCTGCACACGCAGGGTCACCTAGAGCACGTGGCACAGGACTGCGTCCAAGCGGGTTTGGAAGATCTCCAGAGAAGGAGAC